AGCGCGCGCTCGCCTGCAGCTGCGGCCGCGCGCGCCCCGCGCCGCGCTGCACCTGCTGGCCTACTACAGCACGGGCCTGCGCGCGCGACCCTACCGACTGCTCCGACATGTCTTCCGCTTCAAAGTGCTCGTAAGTACCGCATGCTACGTATTTATACGACTTCGATTGCTCGATTTGATCCGATGATGTGTCGACACTTTCTCTTACAGGAAGCTGTGGAGTTAGCGGTCACCCCGCGACGTAGTCTGCGAAATGTCGATGGAGAGGTTGTCGAAAATATGAGCCTCGCCGTTGAAGTCAAAAATATTTTTAACGAAAAGGGCGAGGATTTAACCGTAGAAGTGTTAGAAGCGTCACTATTGAGCCGACAGTGGCGTTTAACTGGGCTCGTTGCGGCCCGGGGCGCAGCCGATCCGCTAACTTCGCGCGAGAAACTGCACTTCGTACTCCGAGCACGGCGAATATTGTCAGAATTCCCGGAAGAGAAAGTCGAGTATACCTGCGTCAAAATCAATGAGAACCACCCAGATGCTGTGGCTAATATTAATGAACCTCCATACTCTAAGTTTGTGGTTGATGGCCAACACTCATACATTGATGCACCTGATGCAGCTTTAGCCCAAGAAATGTCTGGGAAGAGAACGGGATTGATACAATCTATGTTTGTTCTTCGGTGGAAAGTACATGAAAAAATCAATAGCAAGACTGCAGTCGGTCAACATTGCTTGTGGTTAGATTGTTTCACTAAAGCTATATCTCGAGAAAAGGAATATATTCCTGGAGAAGTTCCAATGCCGCTTGACGAATACGATAGCAAACTAGATGTACGCGATACTAACAAAAATAAAAAAGACAATGTTGTGATATTTAGATTGGAACATTCCACTTACATTAACCATAATTTTAATGAGATGAAGCTGTGTTTGGTTCCAATTACTTTGAATCTTGTCAACTGCTACGGAATTCCAGTTAAAGTATTTATTGATATGACGAAACAAAAAAATAGGTAATGATTAAATTACACTTTACTATTTTATCCATTTATCACTCACCTTACTTCTTGATCCAAGAATAAAATTAAAATGTTTCAGAGAGTTGTCTGGAGAGTTGGGATGGGCTGGTGCGCTCAGTTACGGAAGCGACGTGGAAGCTAAAGAACTGGGCGTTAGCGTCAATCTAGACAAGTTTGAGTCTAAAAAAGTACAAGTACGAGGAGTTTGTGCTGCCCCAGGACCATATTTAGTTGGTTCTGCCTTCTCCATCTCCACTACAGGGGAAGACATAAATCTCAATGTTTCAAATATCTCTAATAATACATCTTTATTAGTAGTTGAACAAGTTGCTTAAATGTAAATCTACGGTTTCTGATATTTTCTTAGGTGCTGTTTACTTTAGCTAATAATTAATTTAGAGTTCCAGCTTTGATTATTTATTTAATATATTATCCTCTAAGATCGTAACTGTATAAAAATATGTGTACGTACTTGTATTTATTTACTAAAGCAATAATTATGGAAATGTTAAAATACTTCGCAACAGCCATGTCAAGAATAAAATGTTTTATCATTATCTAAATGTAGTTTAACACTTTACGAAAATTTTAACATTTTACAGTTTTCTAGGTTTAAAAATTATTTCAACATTCGTTAAAATATACCGTCGCGTCTTTGAGTAAAATAATATTTAGATATTGGTATCATAAACTGTATTTATTTATTATAGTGCAAAGTATTAAAAAATGTTATCTTTTATATATTTACGCAAGTTAATATTATCATCCTAATGGTAACCTGTTTTAAGTATTTAAGTTATCCTTGTATTATATTTTTTTCTATAAATTAAAATTAAGCAAGTTTAATGCCATTGAATATGTTTTTTACTGGTTCATATGGATCGACAAATACAAAACCCGTTTATGTATATAGGTAAATGACGTAATAGTTGCGTGAAATAGGTAGTGTAGATATGTATTTTATTGATATCAAAATTTTAATCTCACTCAACACATTTTATAGTTTAGTTCAACGACTATGCAAAGTAACTGTTTTGTATAAATGATATAAATCTATGAAATAAACATGGTGCTAGCTTATATATTACGTAAGAAGAATCATATTATTTTGTTATTATGTGGTAAGTTTATTTTCATTTTATAAATTCCGTGATAACATAATAAAATATTGAGTGACACATAATTCTGCATAATTTCAAAATACTTGATGTTATTATGAATTACCGAAAATTGAAACCCCAATGATACTTATCCAACCCGGAATTAAAGTTGCGAGTCCTTGATAAAAGAGGCCTGAGCCTGAGAGTAAGTAACCTGTTTCCTGCGTGGAAGTTGATTATGTACAACAGACTTTTCACCCCTATTTCGTCGTTTATAAGGAAAATTTCGAAAATCCTGTAACATGTTCCTACCTATTTATTTGCAATAACGGCAATAACCGAGAATCCGAAATAAAAAACTTGGTTTATTTTACTTTCAAATTGAAATTACTTTCATAAAACAGTCCTCGCCTGTTTTTTTAACCCCTTTCTAATTAGTGCTATAAAATCTGTCTATTTAATGATGAAAATAAATGAGGCCGCCACAGTGGTGCACACAACCCCTACAGTACGACCCCCTATACTTACTCTTTGAGTACGACTAAAATAATATTGATACTCGAGAACAATAAAAAAGTATCAGACTTCCATAAAAAATGTCTCAATGAGACTTTTCTCTATACTACTTCTACTCATTGACGAAACCAAGACCTAACTCTCTTGTGAATTATGACTTTTATATTGAATCTTTCTGTACATATTTAAACTTGATTGTTATATATATTTTATCGAAAATGTCTTGTTGAAAGAAAAAGCAATATTAGTTTTGTCGGAGTGCTATTTCTACAAGTGGCGTATAATGCACTCGATTCGAGTAGAATGTTCATAGGCATTTATTTCATTAATATGAGGCATGTATAAAATTTGAGCTACGCAGCACATATTTAGGGATAAATTAGGACAGAGATTTGGATGAAAATGAAACGCATTTTATAGGTGGCGCTACTATGTGTTCAGTGTATTATTTTAAAATATATGGAAAAAAGAAGATATTTATAAAAGCTCGAACGCGTGGCAATATTTCTAGTTAGTAAAAGTTGAGATGCCATTAGCCATATCACTAAATATGTTTTATTTCTAAATATTTATATCAAAATATTTTATTTCCAGTATTTCAGTTGATCAATATGCTGATTCTGTTTCATAATAATTTTTAGAATTATGGAAAGGTCATAATAATGATATTTTTATTGGATAGTTTTCATTTGTTAAAGTTAGAATTATTTAATTATAATAATAATTTAGTAGATTAACAAATAATAGATGACTAATTGCTGAACAGTCAGAAATTTTAACGTACTTGCAGCATATTGTATAGGATGCAATTTTGTGCCATAGTGCCACGTCTAAACTAGATAATTGTGGACAAAAGAAACAACCTACTAATAATACGGATTTAAATATTTTTGTAACCTTTTAAGTTTGGTTTTCATTCCAATAATAATTATAAAAAAAGTATTTTATGAAAAAAATGCTATCATTATATTTAAGTAAATAGTGAATCGTGAACGACGAATAATGAATTAGTGCAGATGCAGACCGATAATAAACTTCGTTTGGTTGTGAATATAAAAATACGTGGCAACATTGGTAATTATAATGATGCTGGTAGTACTGGTAGGGTAGGTAGTAATTTTGTAAAGTAGTGGATAGGTGGGCGTCCATCTTGAAATTTTACTGGGTTTGAGCCGGTTTAGTTCTAATAAAAGTGTATTTTGTAGCTTGGAGTTCATATTAATCGTTAGTTTTCAAGAAGTTTTATGTATGCCGAAACTATTTATTGTTTAAAATAGGATTAACTGCAGTTATGTTTTAGGTATGAACGTCTGCTAAAACATTTAATCGTTTGACGAGTAATGGCGTGCGTTTTTCTCTTTGAAGACACTTTCATATTTTATTCTATGTCGTCAGATCCTATGAATAGTAACAAATAACTCGTGTGTTCTATATTTGTGTAAATGTCTTCATTATTGAAAAACGTGCTTCAATAATTTTGTTAGTTGGACAGTAATCGTAGCTGGATGTCGTTTTTAGGTTATACATCACAATACTTTAATTGAATAGTGACTTGTAATCATAACCGCCTATGATTCGATTCGTCTGGTCGAATCATTATGCATGAACACATTGCAATTAACTGGAGTTCTTCACCGACATGAATGTTTGAAAGTGACGTAGAAAATATTTATTCGCAGTATCATTATTCAAGACATACGCGATTTCCGGAAAGACTATCGCAGATAAAAGCTTAAATTGGCGAAGGCATATGACGATGGCAGTACCAAGTAGAGCGAGGGTATATGCCGATGTCAACTCACAACGTCCGAGAGAATACTGGGACTATGAAAGCTATGTGGTTGACTGGGGCAACCAGGAAGACTACCAGTTGGTGCGTAAGCTTGGGCGTGGAAAATACAGTGAAGTGTTCGAGGCAATAAATATTACAAATAACGAGAAGTGTGTAGTTAAAATATTGAAGGTGAGTCGCAATATTACTTACTAAAGCCATAGAAGCCTTGTTCATCATTGTTTACATTATATGCATAATCTAATGAAGATGCCCTATACTTTTCCTTAGAAACTATAGTGTTAGCTAATTGTGTTCTAATTACAAAATTTTATTTCAGCCTGTTAAAAAGAAGAAGATAAAAAGAGAAATAAAAATATTAGAAAACTTAAGAGGAGGCACAAATATAATTACTTTACAAGCTGTAGTCAAAGATCCTGTTTCTCGTACTCCAGCGCTCATTTTTGAACATGTCAACAACACTGATTTTAAACAGCTGTATCAAACACTGTCAGATTATGATATAAGGTAAAAATATAATGTTTTTGTATTACTTTGATTACAAAAACTAAATAGCTGATTAAAAATACTACACTAATACCAAATTCAAGTTATATAATTTTAGCACTAATGTTTACTTTGTTACAGATATTATTTGTATGAACTGCTGAAGGCATTAGATTATTGCCACAGTATGGGCATCATGCATAGAGATGTGAAGCCACACAATGTGATGATCGACCATGATCACAGAAAGTTGCGTCTTATTGACTGGGGACTAGCTGAGTTCTACCACCCTGGTCAAGACTATAATGTTCGAGTGGCTTCTAGATATTTTAAGGTATCCACATTTTCATTATTTTAATTTAATTGCATACATTTGTTCAAATATGTTGTCAATTAAATGACTACTTAATGGTTGACCAGTTGTTATCATTAATTACCATCATTTTTATATAATGAAATTGAAACTATTAATACTGATGTGATAATTTAATATTTTGTAGGGTCCAGAGCTCTTGGTGGATTATCAAATGTATGATTATTCTTTGGACATGTGGTCACTAGGATGCATGTTAGCATCAATGATTTTCCGCAAAGAGCCATTTTTCCATGGCCATGACAATTATGATCAGCTTGTGCGTATTGCTAAAGTGCTGGGCACTGAAGAGCTATTTGAATATTTGGATAAATATCATATAGAATTGGATCCTCGGTTTAATGATATACTTGGCAGGTATGTAGTCATGTGTATTTGCTTTTAGGTAATGTGTGTTGGTATCATAATTATACTTATTGATATTTTTCTTCAAGGCATTCACGTAAACGATGGGAGCGTTTTGTCCACTCTGAAAATCAACACTTGGTATCTCCTGAAGCATTAGATTTTCTAGATCGCCTTCTACGCTATGATCATTATGAGAGATATACTGCTCGTGAGGCAATGGATCATCCTTACTTCTGTAAGTTTTTTACTTTTATTTTGACCTACTAATACTATATTATGGGAAATTTTGTTGATGTTTATGATGTTGCTGTAAATTGTGTACTTCATATTAACTCATTGAGTACCGTCATTATAGACACAATTATAGAACAATAGGTTGCAGTCACCAGTGACCGCTTGGTGTTTGACAGTTTAAGAGGTAGTATATTTGTAACACCATTTTGTTACAAAGGCATTCCACCAGTCTATAAACTTGAATGTTGTTGTTTTTATGTATCCATTTATACTATCTAAGTAAAATGAAAGTGAAATGGTATTTTATTGTAAGGATTGCTTTGAGTAGTAACTGTGTTAAAAATAATTACTTAATTATTGACACAAAACACTATTAAAATTTGATAACTTGCTGCAAATAACTGTTTACTAATAATCTTTATATCCATACTTATGTTATTTTTTCAGATCCAATTGTGAAGGAGCAAGGACGAATGGTTTCTTCCAATTCTCCAACTCCTAATGCATTGCAAGGACCAATAAGTACTACAGAATAATTGTTAAAAAGAGATGATAAATTCTCTTTATAATGTATTGATATGATATACTTGTACAAGATTCCGGAAGAAAACACTGTAAAAATAACACCAACAAGAAGAGGCCACTGATGGTGTAAATACATGCACAGGGACAGTGAAGGACACCAATTCTGTTTAACAAACACTGATGTAATTCCAATGCTTGATAAATGGAATAATTTGGAAAGACAATATAATTTAGTGTTTAATATTAGTAAATCTGGTTTATTCATTGTTTTAAAGTGTTTTTATCTCGGTATAAACTGCTGACATACATTTGTGAAAGTGCTCGTGTACTCAAGCTGAGTAGGTATTTTGTGGTGGGAGGGGTTCAAATTGTCAAAGTAAAATCTGAAACATCCATTTTTATATGAAATTCGATAGTAATTAATTATTGAAAATGAGAAAAATGCATCGAGTTTCATTGCACTTGATCTTTTGCATTTATTAACCTATGGTATTGATATTGTAATTACTTGTATAATATATTGGTAACACCTGCATACCATTTGCAAATACTGGTTAGC